TTTTGGGGTCTGTTTGTCTCCCCTTCCAGACAATGGAAGGACTGGATCCTTGAAGTGACACTGATGGACTTGCTGCCCAGCCTCATCCACTGATCTCAGGTCAGTGTTTAAAGTTCATTGCTGCAATGTGAAGGCATGCGGAAATATGTTCAAAGTCACCCTTCCCATCCTATAAGAGATTTGCTCAGAAACACTTATTATCTCCTGAAGTGATACTTGATTATATAATCATTTTGAAGTCCACAGAAATTAAAGAAATTCCATATAGTGTTTCTCTCGGTTAGCATCTAAAGTAGATCTCTGCAAAAGCTAAGCCAGGCTTGTTAGATTTCAGCAATTTATAAGGCATCAAGATTCAAATATATAGAAGTATAAACTGGTGTTTTCAACCTAATTGTATTCAATATAAAGTATTAGTTGTAAGATAAATAATTTTTAAAAGACTTTTGAAGTATTGAGGATAATAAATACATCCAAGCACATACATAGCTAGAAAGGTTCTTTCAACCAAAGGAAGACCTTTCCTCTGATAACACAAGATTGCCCTATGTGATGGTTACCATGCAAAAAACTCGGGACATAAAATCTAATAGAAAGCATCAGGTTATTCATCTATAGGAAATTTATCATTGTGGTATCATCTACATATATATAATGCATACATTTTTTTCTTTAAAATATCTATGAGGAAGTAATACATGGACACTGTTGCAAAACTCAATCAACATCAGTACACAGACATTTTAAAAAGTCTATTTCTCAATTTCCATAGACTCTTCTTCCCTAGAAGCCTAAGATGATCAGTTTCTTGAATGTCCTTCCCCAAATCTCATACATATATGAAGTAGATGTATTCTTTCTAAAAATATGCATGGCGTTTATGCCACGCACAGCTCTACACCTCGTTTGTTTTCATATAACAAGATTCTCATACATGGAGAATGACCTGGACAAACTTTGTGCTGCAGCACGAATCTATCTCATGACCTTGAACTAAAGTGAGACCAGCAGCTGTGCTTAGGTGAGGGACAATGTAAGAAGGAACCTCCTAAAGCCCAGGAGGGAGGATGTAAAAAGAAGGGGTGTGCCGAAGGGAAGTGCCACAGCACCTGAAGTAAGAGGGGAAGTACTGCCAACAAGAGGTAAACGTCATGGGGATATTGGAGGCTGGGGCCTCACAAAAATGTCAAAAATGACTTGTAATTTTGAGCAAGTTGGAGACTAATTGAACGTTGTTAGCATGCTACAGAAAAAAAGTTATTCACTTAATTTTCCTTTTGCGTGTGTGTTTTTATGAATGGGTTATTTTGAAATAAAAGCCTTACAAACTAGTGTACTGTATTCCTTGAGTTGGGAAATCCCTGCCTTGGCGATTCTCTGAGTCACCACTAGATGGCCTCATTTGATATTTTGTCTTCCAAGAAAGTGGAAGTTCATACTCAGATCTTTCTGACTCAGATGTAAACTGTGGATCTTCAAATGGGGTTTATGTGAAGTTTTAAAATGCACTTGATCTTAGCTAAAATGCCGAGAAGTGATTGAAGTTTTAAAAGTATAAAATCACTTATAAAAATAATTAATAGAAGTTGCCTATATATTTAAATAATGTTAATTAAAAACAAACACCAGTATAATCACCACCTTCTGGTGGTGATTAATATGACCAGACAAATCTTTGAAGCCAGCAGTGCTCCCTCTCCTATCTTTTCTATCCTACCTGGATAAATCACCACTATGATTTATAAATTACCAGTTACTTTAAAAGATAGATTTATAATATACGATACATCGCTAAATAATATAATGTTTAATTTGTCCTGGTCTTGAAACTTGCATTTTAAAAACTCCTGTACTGTCATGGAGTTAGAAGGTCATCAGACCACAGCTGATGCTTGGTATGCTAGCAGACCTATGGCTCTAATTCCCAGAATATGAGTTAGTAGAACCCACTTTTCTGGCCAGAGTGCCTTTGGAAACATGTGTCATGGAGCCTGCTTGTTTGCACCAACCAAAACCTGGCACCAGGGGCTGAGGATTTAACTCAGTGGCACAGCGCCTGCCTGGCAAGCACAAGGTCGTGAGTTCGATTCCCGGTACCAGAAAAAAAACAAAAACAAAAACAAAGAAACAAGCAAAAACCTGGCATCACTGGCAGAGTGAACACAACCCAATACCTGTATGCTATTTGCTCTGCTCCGGCTGCCTCAGCCTTACCAGCACTGGTCATGTCTGAAGAGCACACATTAAAGTTCCTAAACTTTCTTTGGTACTCAAAGATGTTAAAGAATACTGAGGAGGCTGTTTTGCTCCTTAAGAAGCTTAAGCCCGGAATGATAATAATAAAGATTTATACCTCTCAGCAAATGAGAGCTGAAAAGAGCAAAATGAGAAACTGTCATCATATCCAGTGCAGGGCACTCTGCATCGCCGATAATGAAGACAGTGGTATCATGAAGGCTGTCAGAAATATTCCCAGCATTATTCTGCTTATTGTAAGCAATCCAAATATTTTGAAACTTCCACCTGGTGAGCATGTAGCATGTTTCTGCATTCTGAAAGGGCTTTCTGGAACCTAGATAAATTGTATGGCACTTGGTTTACAGATATTTCCCTCAAGAGTAAGTGTAACCTACCTGTGTACAGGTGATCAATCCAGAGCTCAGCAGAATCTTGAAAAGTTCAGAGATCCAGAGCCCTCTAGCACCGTATGAGAAGATTTATCATAGATGTCTGAAGAAGGATACACTGAAGAAATCATCATCATTTCTAAGAATCATGTTGAAGCTGAACCCATATGCAAAGGCCATGTGCTGGAACGTCATTCTTCACCAGGCCAGGAGTCACAGAGACCTGTGAATAAACCTGCAGCTACCACAACAACACTAGCAGCCAAATCATATAAGAGGCAGGTGCAGGCAGGGAGCTTGTGGCAAAGAAAGGAAGGAAGGCTGCTGATCTTAAGAAGCAGAAGCCATGGGGGGCGGGGAATCTGCAGCTATCGAAAAACCATAAGGAAGAAAAGAAAACTACACAAGCAACTGCTGCATAGATTGTTAAAATTTATTTGTTTCATACAGGTCACATAAGTTTGGACAGCTTATTTTGAATAATGACTTGATCAAAGAGAAAAAAAGAAACTCGAATGTATTTTTCTCTGTCTTGTATTTTCCCCTTATGATATTTCACTTATTATATTATTATATCAGTACATGTTGATGTGTATGGCTCTAATGGATTTTAAAAAAACATTCTGTAGTATTGTGTTATATAAACAAACTAATATTAATGTCCTCATTTTACTGATTTTGGACTAGCTTTTTCTACTCAACATGATGATTTTTAAAAAGATTTTCAAATTCATCCAAGTATCTAAAATTTAAATAGATTAAACATCCTTCATACATAATCCATGTCTAGTAATTTCAATGTCTGTCTTCTGGAAGTCTGATCCTTATCTTTTCTTGTGACTTTCATTCATTTGGACTTAGTTCCTTATGTCTTAGTAATTTTTTTTTTTTTAATTTTGAGTGCACAGAAATTCTCAAAAAAAGTTTCATTTTTTTTTTTCTCAGGCTGTTATATCTTTAGCCACAAGGAGATCCCTAGTTCTCTCTTCTGGAGATCATTTCACCCAGTGCCCTACTCGGATCAAAGCTTCTGTCTGTTTTTAGCAATTGTGAAACAAATAACTTTCCTTGGGTCCGAATAATCTATGGTCTGTTGTCTTCTCCAGTGATAAATATGTTGGAAAACCTGGTAGGAAATATATTGCCTCTGATATCTTTCACACGAGCCCTATCAGAAGAGCTATGTTACCTGTTTCTGTCTCTTTATTCCTGTTGGTGATCACAGGTAAGTGCTTATGGTCAACATACCTATGTCAATAGAACCTGATTAAAATACCTATCTAACTTGGCCAAGCTCCCAATCAGTCTGGAAGATGGCAATTTAAGTGGTGGTCAGAAAGATATTTTTCATTTCTAAGAACTCATATCCAGCCTCCTCGGGCATAATTTGGTGAACAACCAGATGACCCTTGGTTCACACGTCATATGAAGACTCTCACTGGTTTTATTCATGCATAAAACTGCCAGGGTGCCTTACATCAAAGTGGAGTTTGCCCTTAATCTTAAGAAACATTGCACGTAACTCGGAGATATGATAGACATTGTGAAATGATAGGAAAATGCTCAAGAGTAAAGGGCAACTGGGATGTGGGGAAAGAGAAGGGAAAGGAGGAGAAATTTTGTATGTATGTATGTATATACAGGGTAGTTAACATAGTTGGTCTACTGTCTTCTATTTCTTTGCTGAAAGAAACAGTTAATGAGTCCTTGATTGATCAATATTGCATGCCCCTATTTGTTTTCATGAGAAACCACTTTGAAGATATCCATATGTAATTCAACCAGAATTATTAATTTCCTACCACTTTGTTTGTAACTCTGTATTGTTTATATTGTTCTTTTGCTATTTGTAAAGGTTGTCTGTCTGTTAATGTTTTCCTCCTTTTATTTTTAAAATAAAAAAAAAAATGAAGAAGAAGAAACACTGCACACAACTTTCCGTATTCCTCCCCAGTCAGAGCATATATGAATCTGGTCCTCAGGGAACAGGTGAGAGGAAGCAGCTCAAGTGGACCATGAATGTGGGAAGGGCAAATACACCACTCACTCTGTCTAGCATCCAAAGCCTTGGACTCCTATATACTACAGAACTACAAGTCATGGATAACCTAGGTGCAAAAGAAACCCCTGAAAGCAATGTATTACATGAATTCAAGAGGGAGAATTTGATTTGCTTCTGCTAGACTTATAAGGGCAATGCCAACCTGAAGCTACTTTAAAGAGAAATCTTGACCTGCTGGTCTTTAAATCACGTAGACAGCATGGATTATACTACTAAACCAATGTGAGTGTGTGCTTGAATTATGAGTCATTCAGGTTTTGCACACTTAGGTTCATCGGCTCAAAGCTGACCAAATCAAAGGAAGCCATATATTTTGGTAAGAAGGAAGAGATTTATTTAAACCTATCTCCAGTGAGATGGAGAGCCCACTTTTCTCAAGTCACCATCTAACCACGTACAGGTGGGCAAGAGTCTTTTATACTAAGTAAGGAACAGAGGGGAGGGGAGCACAGAGTGATAATGTACATGTCTACACTTGCTTTATTGCTTTCAACATCTTCAGCTCATTCTGCTTTTTCCTGTATAAAAGAAACCAGGCTACAAGCCTCAGGGAACCAGCATCTTCATATTTTGTCACTTATTTTGGGTTGAAGAGAAGAGAGGTTGTTGGCCATGTGCTTGATAAGAGGAAGTTTAGAGAAGTTGCTTGTCTCTAAAAGAAAAAAAAAACCAATAAAAGTCCTATTTTGCAGTTCTGTTTACAGAGGAAATTCTTCTTTGTTTCCCCTACTCATACTAGAATCAGTCACAAATAGGCAAGTGTCCTTTTGAGGGGCTAGTTTCTACAGAAGCTCTTTGTAGAGTTTTGGCTTATGTAAGACTCTTGGATTCTCCTTTATACCCTTCTTAGTGTTACTGTGGCATGGGCTGATATGACCCAGGCCCTTGTATACGAGGAGGAAAGCATTGCCAAGCATACACCCAGTAGCAAACGGCAAGCAGCTACATTTATTGGGGATTACAGGACGTTGTGCTCAGGGCAAGTCTGTGCCAACAGAGGATAGGTCAGAATTGTTTTTTAAAAAGTATCAGCATGAAAAATAAAAGTAAAAATAACAACATAGCACCCAGGTCATAGCAACATGGAAGCAGTAACAGCAAAAATAACCCCATATGGGGCTTTGGGAATTTGAAGGATATGCACCTCAGCCCAGGTGTCTCCCTCTGAATCTCTAGGAATGATTGACAGGCTACTGAGTCATCTTAGAGGCTCTCAATATGCATGCTCGTGCCAAAAGATGCTCTGGTCTTAGTTATATTTACGATATGTGGTGCATATTTATGAACCTTTAATGAGGTGGGATAGGGTGAAGGTGGCTGAAGGTCATGTTAGGAGATACAACATGTTTGTACTTACCAAGGGCACCAGAGATCCCCTGAGGCTTTTTTATTTAATTTCATTTTCTACCTCTCTTAGGACAATAGAAGTAATGATAATAAGGTACTGTTTAGAATTAAATGGGTAGAAGTGAATGACTTCCTCAGTTCCATTGTTTCTAATTGTCATATTACAGTCCAGTTTTGTTCTCCTATCCATTATATGCCATTAGATCACAAGTTGTAGACTTTCTAATTTTGAGTCATGAGAGAGTGTTGCTGCTACCCTGACAACAATAATAAACCAGATAAGCTACATTGGATGGTATACTGAAGGCTGGAAAGAGAGTAGAAGAACTTAGAGACTCCTAATATAAAGTGATCTGCCCCTTCCCAAGTTAAAATAATGGCCCCATGAAGTGTGCAGTACAACAGAAAGAAGATAGAAGTCCCTCTGAGTCACTCTGGGCTTTCATTGAATGCAGGGCCGGAAAACATAGAGATATCTTTAAGACATAGTAAGCCTTTACTGGGAATAAAGCAGTGATCCTCTAGAAACTAGAAGTAGGTCAGTAGGGCAGAGAGACCATCTATAAAGATGGTAGTGGATCTGAAGAACAACAAAAAACTCTCAGTTCCACACTAAAAGCTGAACTTGAGAAGTCAATCATTCATGGTTCAGAAAGCTCTTGTCTGTGCTACAAAACAACAAAGAATTTTCTGATGTCTTACTGGTACTTACTTGGTGCTTCTAGAAATCCTTAGGGCTAGAAATCCTTAGCATTCTGACAGAAGAGCTGAGAATTTTCCTGGGGAAAATATAATTTATGGCAGGTGTTACTGTGCATTCGTGTACTACGTCCAATGTACAATTAAAATTACAAGACACAAGAAAAAGCAGAAAACAAAAGCAGAGCTTGTGATCACGGAGGAAAGAAGCAGACCTGAAGATAAATCAGATGTTGGAATTATCAGGCAGGAACTTAAAAATAACCATGAATTGGGATTGCGGGCTTTGGTAAGTGCAGCCAAAAGCTTTTTATTGTCTTACCCCCCCCCTTGCCTTCTGAAGTGTTTTATCTCTTTATTTTTTCTTCTTTTTTTCTCTCCCTGTCTGCAAACTTCTGGAGCATTGTGGTTTTTGTTTTTGATTTTATTCACCCTTTTCAGTGGTTAGAAACTCCAAAGTCCCTAGAAAACGAGTGGTTGCATACAAGGGCACCAAAGACAACAGACACTGGCTCCCTCTAACCAGATGTGGGAGGAGGTGCTGAGAGGGATTCTCTACGATGTGTTGTAGCCTTGTTAGGTTTTCCCTCAGATCAATGTACCCCATTCCTGGATCAAATGAAAATAAGAGTTGATCACTAGGGAGACACATAAGAACAGACTCATCTAGTACCTTCAGCAAAATTTCTCATGCAACCAGCATGGCAATTAGTCCTGGGGGGACCATGGAGAGGACTAGTCTTTGGGGCAACACCTAAGGAAACAATCTCCTTAAATCCTGCATATCTTTGGGTGCTAAACACTGTAAAGAAAAAGAAATCCTCTAAATTGATCTTTTAATTCCCCTCAGAACCAAAGGGCATAAGCTCAGTATGCCTGATGCCATCGCTGCCATTTTTTGGTGGTTGGGAACATTTCCTAAGCCATGCAGATTCAACTGGTCAGTTAGGTGATGACTGATGTTCTGGGGACCTAAGGAAGTCTGTGAACTCAAACCTCAGGAGGAGCCCCTGGTTTCGTCTTTTCTTCTTCTCTCCACAAGGAAAGCCCCAATCCCCTTGTCCTTTCTCTCTAAGGCTCTCATGCATTAGAAAACTCAAATCTTTTAAGTTTTTCTGATATTAATTATTAGGGAGAGGCAGGAAGCTGGAGGGAAGAGGGAGATCAGTGGGAACTAGGGAGATCAGTGGGAACTAGGGAGCTCAGGGAGTTTTCTCATGGCTCTGGGGAGAGTTCTCAGGGTGTCCACCATGTGTGTGGGGGTGGAGGGAAGCACATGGACTCTGTGTTTTCCTGCTGGTAGGGGAGACCCATAGGCCTGTGGGAAGGGCTCCATTTCAGCCCTTCTCAGCTGTTTACCATGACCCTGGGTCCCAGGGCTGCCTGTCCAGGCTTTCCTATACGTATTTTTTTTCCAAGAGCTTCTTGGGGTTGCTGCTCTAGTGTTGTCTTGCTTATTTCTTTCTGCTATTCTTATAAAAAATTTTAGCATCAAGTTTATCCTTCTATCTAAAATGGTATGTTTAAGTGACATCTCCAGACTTTTAAAACACTCTATGAGTTATTTATGTGTGCCACAGGTCCCTAGATATAAAGGGGTAAAATTTTTGGGTAAATCCCAGCTGTTGTATGCTACTCTTTTTTCCTACTCTCCTGATCTGTTGGTGGAGATTGGAATAACTCTATGCCAGAAAAAAAGGACACTTGTCTTGGACAAAAGCAACAGATTTTTACAGGTGTAGGAGGGATGCCTGGATTAGTCAATGATGGCTGTCAGTTGTAGGTGGCTCTGAACTTGAGGTAACAACTGGGCAGTTCTACCTCTGAGAATTAGGGCAGGATGTACACAGAGTGTGACATCAGGATAAGGCAGGTGGCTCATGCAGCTTAACACTGGGAGATGTAAGTAGGATCCTGTCTTGGTTATTTTTCTCTTGTTGCTGAGACAAAATATCCGACACCCCAAATTAAGGAAGGAAAGGTTTATTTGGCTCAGTTTGTGGAGGTTTTGACCTATAATCAGCTGGCTCCAAAGAAGGGTGGCATGATGAGGGGCAACAGCTCAAGGCAGTAGAGACAGCAAAAGTAGCAAGAGCAACAAGGGGGAAGAACAAGCTTCTTTTCCTCCATTATGTTGTAAACAGCCTCCCCCTCCCCAGGGCGTGTGTAGCACTTGCAGCATCTCCGTGCCCTCCTCTTGCACAAGATGAGCATGTTTACAAAGTGAGGACCCTGGTCCCCTGCTGAGGTAAACTTCTAAACTTGTCAAATTAATACAGTATATCAACCATTACAATCGCGCCTGGGGATTTAGCTCAGTGGCACAGCGCCTGCCTGGCAAGCACAAGGTTGTGAGTTCGATTCCCGGTACTGAAAAATAACCAAAGACTAAAAAAAAACAAAAAAAAAACAAAAACCGAAAATCATTACAATCCACCCCTTGTCAACTTGGCAACCAGACATATTTCTTTAAGCCAGTTTCCAGATACAAAGACATTCTTATTCTTATCATTTCACAACTTAAACGTTATAACACCTGTTTAATAATCCTTAAGAACCAGTATTAAGTCTATCAACATTATATTATATTAGGACCCTAATATTCTGTCCCTGGCCTCCCAAAGACTCATGCATATCACTTTATGCAAAAGGCATTTAGTCCATCTGCAAGAGTTGCTAAAGTCCTAACAGTTTAAGCTTTGCTGAAAAGTCCAAGTCCTAAGTATCCTCTAAGATACGAGGCAAACTCTTGGCTACGAGCCCCTGGACAAATGAAAAGTTAAAGTCTTCCAACATCCAATGGCAGAAAATAAACATTTTCATTCCAAAATTTACAAACAGGAATACAAAGGATTGGGGTTAAAGCAAGTCTAAAATCCAACAGGACAAATATTAAGGCCTGTAGTTCCATGTGCACCGTTTGAGGTAATCTGTGGCAAATTGTGAGCTCCAGAGGGTTTGTGTAGTTCTACCCCTACAGCACCTCTGGTGATTATAGCTCGCACAGCTTCTCTCTTGGACTGGCTTTGTTCCCTCCTCACAAGTTTCCTTAGATGATCCACTTTCCTGGCTTTCCAAACTTCCGGGGCACCACTTCACCACTGGCTTCACACTCACAACTTCACATACTGCCCTCTCAGGGGCACACTCGCTGGCCTCCCAGAGCTTCTGAATCAGGGTGGAAGCTTTCTTATCCCCATAACTCTTGCATTCTGTGTGTACCTAAAACCAGCCCCACTTGGATGATGCCAAGGTCTGCTGCAAGTTGAAGCAGTACCCAGGCTTTACTGTCTCTTACCTTGTAGGGTCAAGCGCCTGGATTGCTGAGCACTCTGAACCTGATTCTGAGGAACAAATTCTCTGTGCTGCCACCATTCTGGAACATGGCACTCTGCAATTTTCTCCTCAAAGCAAAGTCTTTCACTTTTGCTGTTTTGAGGCTACAAAGTGTGGAGACTTGCTGCTTCTACTGACGCCGTAAGGCCATATTTTCTACTCTCCTGTTCCTTCTCAGCAGTGGAGATCTCCTCAGCTTTATCTTTGTAGGTCACAGCTTTACTGGAGCTTCCTATCTGGCCAAACTCACAACATTCTAAATCATTCAAGTGGGCTCTTTGCTCTTGATTCTCAACATAGATCTGGCTAAAAGCCCCCAACAGTAGCTATGCCACAGCCTCAACATTCAACTGCCTCAAAATTTCTTCTGCCAGATTAATTAGCCTATAGTTCTTAATCTCAGCCTCAGGCAAAGTCTCTGGGCATGAGCAAAATACAGACAAACTTTCTACCAAACCATAACACACATCAGCTGCAGTCCATCAGCTGATGCAGTCCTTCTTCCCAGCAGACACCTCCTGAGGCTAGTCTTTGGTGGTTTTCTGGTCTTCTGAGCTTTGACAGAATCTACTACATAGAACAGCCTAAGGCCTTCCAGTGCTACTCTTTCAGGTGACATATCTGAACTTTTCCAAACTCTTCCCACAAGCCATTCCCAAAGACTCTTGAGTCACATGGTCAGATATAGTTACAGCAACAACCCCACTTCTCTGGTGCCAAATTCTGTCCTAGTTACTTTTCTCCACCCAAAAACTCTTAGAATTAATAATGAACTTCACAAGTGTAGCAGTGATATAGGGGTGAGAAACTCCCAACCTGAAAGATATCTGGGATGAGTTTGTGTTCTTTAAAATTGAAGAATGAATTTTGGGAACAACACAGATTAAGAGCAGAATGTATTTATTGAGGGAAAGAAAGCTTCTGTGTGAGAGAGCGACAGAAGGGGGCCCAACTGGGTTGCCCAGGACTGTCTCTTTTAGGGATTTTTTATAGAGCAAAACCACAAGGTGAGGCAGGTCCAAGGTGGAAAACATGGGAACTCACTACGTGGGCATGATGTGGTACAAAACTATAATCAGTGAATAAGATTGCAAGTATAAATGTTTAGGTAAAATTGATTAAATCAGGATCAAATGGGGAAGTGAGTCACATAGCAAGTGGGACATGAATACAGAAAAGGAGACTTTCCTGTAGGGGGGTGGGTTAGTGAATCTTCCTGGCTTTTTTTTTTTTTTTTTTTTTTTTTGGTTTTTCTCCGGTACCGGGAACCAAACTCACGACCTTGTGCTTGCCAGGCAGTCGCTTTTGCCGCTGAGCTAAATCCCCAGCCCCCTTCCTGGCTTTTTAAAAGGTGATCACTACCTATTTAGAATGTCAATCCCTGATGTTCATCCCAAGGGAGGTATGTGGGCACATTTGTTTTATCTTTTGTCTTGAGATCTGGCCCACAGCTGGAGGTGTCTGTCTCCCCCACTGTTGCAAGGTATCTCATCTTTTGCACTGGCTCTTTTGAGGGCCTGGCCCTGTCTGACTGCCTATAATATTTCTAACTAATCAGCTGCCTACAACAGCAGGATACAAGATCAACATGCAAAACTCAGTAGCATTTATGGACACCAACAATGAATAGGATGAGAAGGAAATTATGAACATAATACCATTCCCAGTAGTTTCAAGAAAAATGAAATACTTAGGAATTAACCTAACCAAGGAAGCGAAAGCCCTCTACAAAGAAAACTACAGTACTCTGAAAAAGGAGACTGAAGAGGTCGTCAGAAAATGGAAAGATGTCCCTAGTTCCTGGATAGGCAGAATCAATATTGTCAAAATGGCCATATTCT